AAAGAAAGAAAGAAAGAAAGAAAGAAAGAGAAAGAAAGAAAGAAAGAGAAAGAAAAAGAAAAACCAAACCTTAGATCTAATTAGGTATTTTCAGCCACAGCAGTGGCTACTTTTTATGACTTCTGCTTTCTAAAACACTGGTTTTAAAAATTCCTAGTGTGAACTTTCAGTTGGGAGGGCAGAAACAAAGCAACAGTAACAGCCTGGTGAGAGAGAGAGAGAGAGAGAGAGAGAGAGAGAGAGAGAGAGAGAGTGTGTGTGTGTGTGTGTGTGTGTGTGTGTGTGTAGTGTATACCAGCATTTTCTAAAACCTTAGCACTTAGCTTCGTGTGTTGGCATACACCTGTAATTCTAGCATCCAGGCTAAAACAGAAAGCTTGTGAGTTTAAGGGCAGATGAATCTACACAGCAAGACTCTATCTTTCAAAATACTCTCCCCCTCCTCCCACCCCCAAGGAAAAGGAAGACAAAGAATTTGATGTTCAGTGTCTTACCTCAAAGGGAATAAGAGATAGCTCACTCTTGTGCCAAATTTGAATGACCATGCTTGAGGAACATGGATTCAAGTGCCCCTCCTATAACGTGCTACACCGTGGAAAAGGATTGTATTACAGCTATAGAACACACCAAATGAAAGAAAGTCCTGAGTCAAGGTATTTTTCAAGATCCTTGGTGGGAAGCTTAGACAGGTGGCTTACAGAAAAGCCAAGAAACCTCTTCTATAGGTTACAGATGGTATCTGATGACAGGCCTAGCTTTGCATTGTCAGACCTTAGCACACCCCCAAAGGACTTACCTGATGTCACCATTAGAATAGGCCAGACAGGAATGGATACTAGGATATTAAGCATTAAGGGCATGAAGACAGTGTGACAGTGTGTGATCATTTGTCCCTGATCCTGCAATAGTCCTTTGAAGTTTCTTTTTAGTTTCTTTCTTTCTTTCTTTCTTTTTTCTTTTCAAGACAAAAGTTTCTCTTCCTGACTGTCCTGGCACTCGCTCTGTAGACCAGGCTGGCCTCAAATTCACAGAGATCCGCCTGCCTCTGCCTGCCAACTACTGGGATTAAAGGCGTGCTCCACCGCTGCCCAGAAGTCCATTGGAGTTCTAATCAACCAACCTTGTGGCATCTTTAGGATGGATGCAGCTTTTATTCCAGGACCTGGATCCCCAGTCACAGAAGGTTCTACACAAAACACCAACTGACAAGCCCCTTAGGCAAAGGGGCCAAACAAACACAAGGAAAAGGAAAGGAGAGCAATTCTGTGCTTTTATCTTACTATTTCAGTACATACATTTTTTTCAATCTGTTAAGCATACAAACAAATGTTATTCTAACATTTCCTAGTTCTAATTTTTTAAAAATGCAGGCAAGTTTAGCTGTAATACTTAGAATCACCACACTCCAGGTACTGATCTGTAGTTAACCCTTTTTAGGAGCTGGGGTATGTCCAGAATATATTTACAAAAAGCTTCAATTACATATCAAAATAATATTTTTTCAATAGCAAAATGAAATTAGAAGGCATTAATTTGCACAGTCCTTCAGAGCTCTACTTTGAAATACGAGAAACACTTGAGGTGTGACCTGTCTGCTGAAAAAGCATAGGCTGAATAGACATATTTAGGAGGTCAGCCAGCATATAAATTAAGACATCAAGACTGTACTTTAAGGGATCAATTCTATAGTTTGTTACAAATTAAGGTATCATAGATTTCATATGTAATATTCAGAAAAACAACGGTCTTGGTCACGGGAGCCAGCAGGCAGTTTACTTTGTGATCCTGTCTTAATGACTGCCACCTCTTGGATGTAGTCAGCATAAGAGCTGAGCATTGCATTTTTTTTTTTTTTTTTAAGTTTTAGTCATCACATGACCTAATTTCCATGGCATGAACCATCTGGTGAATTTCAGAGGCTTCAGGTATTTTTTAAAAAGTTGCCAGCTCCTCGTGTTGGAAGTTCATGATAGCATAAGGGTCTCCTGTCGGCGCCCAAATCTCTTCTGCGCGACCCATTTTCGCAGCGCAAGCTTGTCTGGGGAGCACTGTCTGGAGTTGGGCTGTGCTGTGCTGTGGTCTGGCTCAGCTGGGCTGGAGGTGCAGCAGCCGGCAGCTGTAGACCGCCTCTGCTCGGCGCCGGGCTCGGCTCCGCCTCTCATTGGCTCCCGGCTGCAGGAAGATGAACGCCACTACTGTTTCCTTTTGATGCTGCTTTGACACAGTGGGGGAAATGTTTCCTCAGGAGCTGGCGCAGAAAATCAAGGGCTACCAGGAGCAGATCGCCTCTCTGAATTCCAAATGCAAGATGCTGACGATGAAAGCCAAGCATGCCACCATGCTGCTGACCGTGACCGAGGTCGAGGGGCTGGTAGAAGGGACCGAGGACCTGGACCGTGAGCTCCTCCCCACGCCTTCGGCCCACCCCTCCGTGGTTATGGTAAGGATCAAGTCTGCCTGCCCCTCCTGCTAGCTTTGCTCTTTGGACTGGAGCGTGGCTAGTGGTGGCCCTAGGGGCATAGCCACGCTTTTTTAAGAGACTAGCTTTGAGCTTTCTAGATTTTAATTTGGGAGCTGTTTCCTTTATTTGCAGAGGCAGTCCAGGGGCCAGAGCTGATCTTTAGCCCCGTACACAGTGGCAGTTGGAACTGTTAATGTTAGATTTAGAGTCCAAGATCCGCCCTTCATTCATGTGCAATTTTGCAATAATACTGACCCATGACATGCTTGATTTTAAACACAATTCCTTTACACCACAGACACGTGGGAGGCATGACACATATATTTAACTGCTTTCCAAGTTGAATATGTACATGTATGCATGTACCATATGATTAGTAAAAAGTATAAGAAAAGCTATTATGAAAAAAAATAAGGAAATTGAGAATTCAAAAAAGTTTAGTTTGGGCTCAAAAGAAAGAGACTTATTTAATCTTTTATACCATTTTTCAACGAAAATACACCGAGTGTTTTGGTAACTACAGTGTCTTTTGATGATGTATATTTTCCTCACCTATGCCTCAGGTAATATGTAACTCAACCCAAACCCACATGGTTGTGTGTGACTTTAGATGCATTTGTCTTCCTAGGATACTTGGAACTTAAGATGTCACAGTAGACGAAGTTTTATATCATATAGTCTTTTCCTTGCTTAACTCATGATTGTTTATTTTATAAAGACACCAAAATAAAAATAGAGACTTTTAAACAGTGCGAAAACTCTTGACTGTGACGCACAGTCATGGATCTCTGTTTTAGAAATAGTATTAACGTCATATTCACTAGAAGAATATCGTACTTTTAAATACTAACTCAGGGTTAATAAGTTAATATGTAAATTAGCCCCAGTCATCCCAGTCTTGTGTAGATAATGATGTCCTGAGCCATGTCTGTTGAGGTTTTTGTGCTAACATAACTAACTGATTTTTATGTCCTCTGGGCTAAATTTTACATGGCAGATGACTGCCGGTCGCTGTCACACTTTGCTGTCACCTGTCACTGAAGAGTCTGGGGAGGAGGGAACCAACAGTGAGATTTCCTCTCCCCCTGCCTGTCGCTCTCCATCACCTGTGGCTAACACAGAAGCATCTGTTAACCAGGTACCTCCACCCACTGCCCTTTCGCTACGAGCTCCACTCTGGCTGGATACAGTACTCCATTTTCCATCCTCATTAGGCTGTGGGTGTGACTCTCTGGCTTCATTGAATTTGGGTCCAGGGGCACATCATTGAGTCACATCAATTATGATTGTCGAGTGAGACCACTGGCCCCATATGCTGCCACATATCCTGAGCTACTGACAGTGAGATGAGCAAAAATTAATTCATGGAAATTATAGCCCACTATAAAGAAAAAATTCATTCATGAAAACTAAAGCCCGAAGAAGGTTCCTTTGAGGCCTTATGGCTTCCTAAAGCAATCACAGGCATGGGTTACTGAATCCTAACAGAGAACATAGTATCCTAAAGCAATCACAGGCATGGGGTACTGTATCCTAACAGAGAACACAGTAGTATGATTGATGCTATGGCCCAGTTAACATACATTGAGCACACTGCTAATGCTATGTCCTACTTTAAATAGAAAATCTTGCATTCATATGAGACTTTTATTTTCCAAAAAACAAAAATGAAGATGAACCTTGACAAGGTGGCATTTTAACATATCTTATACTAAATATAGCATATTCTAAGTCATGTGTCAAAGCGTTTAGTGATACACATTTGATATAAGCAAAAATACTTTAGCCAAAACACTTAATGCTTGATAAGTGATGATGTATTTTTTTTAGCCAAGACAAATTTTGACAGATTTTAATGATGTTGCTAGGAAGTTATGTAACTGCTCGAGAGCTGAGACAATATTGAGAGGAAGCACTAATTAAAGCAAACATACTGCACTATAAATCTACCACATTGCTTTTAGCTTAAAGCCAAAGGGCTGACCATGCACTTCTGTGATAAAGAGAACAACTATTCAAATAAAAAGGGGTATAACATCGATGATACCTTTAGATAATATAAGAATCCGTTGGTAATAATTGACATAGTTCTAGGGAAGTGGTTTTTTTGTGTTTGTTTTTGTTTTGTTTGACAGGGTTCTCTGTGTAGCCCTGGCTGTCCTGGAATTGCTCTGTAGACCAGGCTAGCCTTGAATCAGAGATCCAGCTTCGGTTATAGAGTAAAAAGGTCCCAAAACTATCAAATCACAACAGAATACCTCTGAGCAGGCAGAACAGAAGAGTTTCTGTCTTACACTCAGGACAGAGAGGTCAACAAGAAATAATGACTTGAGAGTAGTAGGAGGAAATTAACAAGGCAAAAGGAGAAGCTCAGAGCTCCTTGGGAGATCTGGGCAGCTGCTTCCCAAGTTCTCAAGTAAAAGTATGAATTACTCGTCCTTCTTCCTAGAACTGTAGTCAGCTGATTGATTATGTAATATCCTTAACATTTTCAAGTACAACAATTAATACTGATCATGAGACGCATATTATGGAAGCATATGATTTTTGTAGTATTGTCTGTTTCTGTACTACATATTGAAATACACTTTCTTTTTTCTTTCTTTTCTTCTCATTTATTTATTTATTTATTTATTTATTTATTTATTTATTTATTTTGATTTATGAGACAGGGTTTCTCTGTGGCTTTGGAGGCTGTCCTGGAACTTGCTCTGTAGACCAGGCTGGCCTCAAACTCACAGAGATTCTCATACTTCTGCCTCCCAAGTTCTGGGATTAAAGGCATGTACCACCACCACCCAGCTGGAATACACTTTCAATGCACATATGTGTTATATCCAGTATGTCATGACAGAACACATGCACAATTTCTTGTTACTGATTGGCATCAATCATAATGCATTGTGACCTCTTAAACTGAGGTAGGTGAGACTTCCTGTGACTTGGTTTTTAACATGTCTCCTTGATCACAAGGAAATTTCAGTTAAATCACTTTGGTAGGCAGACATCCAGATAGAGTAGTATGTTGTTTTTTTATGAATTCATTTACATATTGTATATACAGTGTTCTGTCAGCATATATCTCTACAGGCCAGAAGAGGGTGTCGATCTCATTTCAGATGGTTGTGAGCCATCATGTGGTTGCTGGGAATTGAACTCTGGAAGGCCAGCTAGTATTTTTAACCACTGAGCCACCTCTCCAGCCCCAGGGCAGTAAGTCCTATTAACATTCTCATTGGTAGTCATGACCTTCCTTGGACTAAGGCAGACAGCTTGAGTTGGAAGGCACTATGGCATTGTTCAACCAAAGCAATCCACAAATCTCATCTGTTGGCCACATGTTCCTCTTGTACAGTATAAATCAACATGATTAGAAACTATGATAACTTGGGCAGCAATGCCCTAGATTTCAAAATTGGTTTCAGGGCTTCAGGAGCTTCTGGAGTGTGCCCTTCAGCTCCAGTTTTCAGACTGCCAACGCTGTACAGAATGTACACAGTCGTTCAAGGAAGAGCTGGATATAACTGCTTCATCACATCACATCCATGGTGGGAGAGGCTCTGTGCTTGCTCTTTCTGTAAATGGATCTCTGTTACATAACAAACAGATTCCCCCTCACAGTCAGTGTGTTCCCTCTGCTGACTGCGAGAGAGGAGAAACACGGAGGCGTCCTCAGAGTTTGCTACAGTCTTCTCCATCCCCTTAGACTCAAGCTGTGACCTGGATTCCATGGAAGAGTTGAGATAAATATTGTCACACCATTGACCTCCAGGTCAGAAGCTCCATGGGTCACAGCACTTCAGTGTCCAAGCTGATTGTCCCTGGGATGTTCCTCAACTCCTCATGTATAACTGGAGCTTGATGTCAACACAAAGTCACCAACATTAAATGAGATGTTTAATCACCACTACTTTGAAGACTAGAAAACTGTGGATTGAACTGTAGCCAAATATGTCTGGATTTATTTCCTCGGTTATCTTAGACACATGAGCACCGAGACTCTTATTTTTAATGGTGATTCCTCACTATACCAAGTATTGATGACAGCAGTTATTTTGTAGGGCTACTTAGTAATTTACTTAGTGGTTTCTGGTAGTCTGCCTACAACAGACCCAAGTTACTCATATACAAAAGATGAAAGACTTTCAACTCCTAAGAAACCAGTTGTCAAGTGTCAATAGCCTTGAACCATATACACATAAAGCCAACAAAACTTTTTTTTTTTTTGGTAACAAATTGTATTCTAGCTTTTTGGGGGCCTTCCTTATTTATAACGGACTATGTAACTGAGGATTTTTATCATATTTACAGCCAGGCTTTGATCATTTATGTTGGTGGCAGTAATAGTTCATCGGTCCCACCTTACCCTACATTCCAAGACTCCTGCTGATCACACTATTTTCTTCTACATAGACACACACACCACCAAGAAATTATTTTTCAAATTAGGGAAAGTAAGAGATTAGCACACCAGCAATAAGAGAGAACACTTATATATATAACCCTGGTAAAACATAATTTTTATGAAGTGTTCATTATGGAATTTCACACTTATAATTTCAGGACTGTGGTTGACTATGGGTCGCTGAAAGTGCTGAGAGTAAGAACATGGGCATAGATAAGGGTGACTACTGTATCACTTCTCATTCCTATAAAGTAAAGTTAGGTACAAGATTCATTATGCACAGCATTCCACCCCCACCCTGCTATTTGCTGGACACACAGAACATGCTCAGAATGAAAGACCTCAGAATTATGACAGTTATTACATAGTTCACAAGTTTGTGAGTATTGGTGGTTTTCAACCTGTGGGTCACGACCCCTCTGACAATCGAATGGCCCTTTCATAGGGTCACCTAAGACCATTGGAAAACACAGATATTAGAACACATAACAGTAGTTATTATAAGAGTCACAACTTTAGAAAGGGTGAGTATAGGGAGAGATCTTACTAGGTACTTGTGGCGCTGACCATACCCATTTGGGCATGGCCACAGGTGGGTACAGGGCCTGTGGTATTTATGACTGAGCCTGTGGGATTTAGGACTGAGGAGAGGCCAGGCTCCCTCTCTTGGTGTTCAGGTGGGGTCTCAGAGGACAGCTAAAATTGGATGCTTGGAGCGCTGACCCTGGGTTATTGGTTTCTCATATGATTTCTCCCCAATAAAATTAACCTACCCCGAGTACAGTAATTATACTCCAGCAGGTGAGAACCTCTTGGGTAAGGGGAAGCAGACTCTGATGGGAGACCACAGAGGCAGCAGGTGAGCCAGTGGTTTCAGGTCTGTGTGAGACCCTGCCCCATTAGCTGTAAGGGTATGTGGAGGATGCTAAGATAGGAGGAGGAGGCGCTTTCTCAGGTAGAAGGGACCCCATGTGGGAAACTGTGGAAGCAGAGAGAGCACGAGCCACTGTGGCAACTGCAAAGGGTTTCAGTACCACTGGAAAAACATAGATTGGGAGGGGATGTGGGACTCACACGATGAAGGACTGTATAAAGGAATTTATGCTGCATGAATAAGTCAGGACTTTATCCAGAAGACAACAGTGAGCCATGAAAGGAATTTAGCTAGTAGTTATGTATGGAACTCAGGATGGAACATTCTAGATCAGAGGACACAAGGGATGTGTGTGTGTGTGTGTGTGTGTGTGTGTGTGTGTGTGTTGGAGGGTAGGTATTTTACCTTCTTGTTGTTGTGATAAAATGCACCAACAAAGCAACTTTTGGGAGAGATGTCTTATTTTGGCTCACAGTGTTCCAGAAGGATCTGGTCCATAGAGGGGAGATACAGTGGCAGACAGGTAAGGCATGGGCACAAACAGAAGACTAGATGGTCACTTCATGTCTGTATTCAGGAATCAGAGAGAAAACAAGAGGTGGGGCTGGCTATAAAGCATGCATTATCTGTGTGTATTATGTATACGACTTGTATATGTATTATATGTGTTTTCTATGTGTTTAGTGTATGTGTGTCATGTGTGCCTTTTATGTGTGTGACATGCACATGTATTAATACACTCTGGTAAGTAAATTATGATTGATCAAGAAAGGAAAGAGGGAAAGGAAAGAGGAAGAACCAGCACCCATGTTGCCATCTCATCAATAAACGTTAGAGACTTGGCTGGAAGCTTCAGGAACAATGATAAGATGGATAGAAGGCAACATTCACTCTCAGTGTTGAGAATGGATGTAGCTTGTTCCAATTACAGAGTGTGGGAGGAAAATCCAGCTAGAATTGCAAGTGTCCTACCCCAAGTCTGATGCAATTCTGGTGCCTTACTCCTTCTTCTCGACTGAGACAGGCCACCCCCACCCCGCCACCCACACCAGACTGCTTCCTGCTATTATGTTTTCCCAGGTGACTGTAACCTCTCTTCACAGATTTTTCTCAATACATGATTAGCAGCAAGACGCAGTGTTTTAAACTGCCATAATTACCCTCAATAGCACAGCTGCAAAAGCAGTGAGCTTTTAAGATAGCAACTGACATAATACAAACACTGCTCCTAGTTTTCAGATTCAGATAAGTGTATATAAAAACCCTTGAAAACACCGGGACTGGGGAAAAGGTGCAGACCTTGGAGTGCCTTCCATGAGTGTGGGTCCCCAGCATCTGTGTAAACGCCACACATGGTACTGCACATCTGGGATCCTGGCCCTAGGGAGGCAGAGATGATGGATCCTTGGAACTCAATGACCAGCCAGCCTAGCTGGATCAATGAGCTGATTCAGACCCTGTTTTGAAAAATACGGCAAAGGCTGATCAAGCAAGACACCCAAAACCAACCTCTGGCCTCCACATGCCAGTGCATACATGGGAACACACACATGCATATGTACCACACACAATACATGCAATGTTGAAAAAACAGAAAGCACAATTGTGTCTTGACATAGGAAACTACATCATAAATCAAGAAATACATACAACACGTATATAACACAAGAAATCAAAGAGTCCAAATCATGAGTTTTCAACATGGACTTTGCTAATTCCTCATGTACTTTTAGGAAATGAATGGACAGGTCTTTTTAATTTTGTTTTGTATATTTCCCACCATTTAATATTTAAAATATTTATTTTTGTGGATAATCTGGACTCATTTGAAAAATTAATAATGTCTATAGTTTCTTTTAAGACAGTCTCGTATAACCCAGGGCTAACTTCAAACTTACTATATAGCTAATGATAGCCTTAAACGCCCAACCCTGCTGCCTCTACCTAGATTTAATCTTTGGAACAAATCCTTTCAATAGGTATTCAGAATGTTAGTCAATGTTTGAACTATATTTGGGGAACTAGAGTGAGCGGATCTCATTTTCTTTCTATACTGGTTCAGTGCAGGTATAGTAGTTAATTAGACGTATACTAGCCAAGTAAAGGTGTCTAATGAAATAAGATGTAATGGCTGGGTAGAGGTGTACCGGTTAGCTGGAGGTATATTGGTTATTTGAGGTGTACTCGTTAGCGGTGTGCTGGTTAAATAGAGGTATGGTGGTTAACTAGAGATGTACTGGTTAATTAAAAGTGTGTTGGTTAGCTAGAGATGTACTGGTTAAACAAAGGTGTGCTGGCTAATTAAAGGTAAACCGGTTAAATAGAAATAAACCAAGTAAGTAGTAGTTACTGCTTGAATAGTTTGCATTACCATTTTACCAATATAACAAAAGAAGGTATTTTGGCAATTTGAAAGGTTGACATGCTTGATTTCTTTTCATATTGGTGAAAATATGAAAGCAATTGTAATGAACTTTGTTATTTTTTAAATCTTGCTATAAGCATGTCCTAATCTGAGTTTGTAGCATCCAACAACAAATGCAAATCTTAGTCTTTTCCACTGCATGAAGAATAGCTCCCAAGGCATGCCGAGCTCGCCTTTCCTTCCCACTCCGACACTGTGCTCTCCACCCAGGACATTGCGTACTACCAAGCCCTGTCCGCCGAGAAGCTGCAGACAGACGCTGCAAGGATTCCCCCCAGCACCTCTGCATCCCAAGAGTTGTATGAGCCAGGACTGGAGCCTTCAGCGACTGCCAAGCTGGGTGACTTACAACGTTCCTGGGAAACCTTAAAAAACGTGGTAAGCCTTTAAAATGCCAAATGATCAATCTCCCCAGACACCCATCTCTTTAGGTATTGTCTTATGAAATACATGCCGAGTTACACATCTAAGACACAGTCAGAAGCCCTTGGGTAAAGCGGTGAGGAAAGAAATGTCACAACCTGCAAGATAAGAAGTAGGAAGCCGTTGGTAAGATCCCCTTTCTCATTCAGATCAGTGAAAAACAGCGGACTCTCTATGAAGCTTTGGAACGCCAGCAGAAGTATCAAGACTCTCTCCAGTCTGTCTCGACCAAAATGGAGGCCATGGAGATGAAGTTGAGCGAGAGCCTCCAGCCCGGCCGGAGTCCAGAAAGCCAGATGGCTGAGCATCAGGTAAAAATAGCAAGCTCTATGACTTCAGCTTCCTGTGTGATAGTGTGCTCTGGAGTTGGCCTGTCAGGAGAGGAGAGTGGTAGTTCTTGTTGGATTTTAAAAGGTGGGAGTTGCTGCCACTCCTTCAGGGTGGGGATCCAAGAAGGAAAAAGACAAAATCAGACCTGGACTCTACTTTTAAAAAGCTACATGCATTGGCATTGCTTTGGGGCTTTTCTGATATGAAGTGTGTTTCTTTACAGTTGCCAGATTGCCTTCCTTTAGCTATGAGCCATTGCTGTAAGAATAAATTATGTTCCCAGTCGGCCTCTTCTGGGAGTGAGCCTCAGGCTTCAGTGAGGAGTTCATTTTGTGTTGTTCTGACTCTAGTCATTTTTAAAACCTTATATAACAGAAAAAGTGTCAGATTTATGTGGGAAAAAAAGAGCTGATTCTGTTCTTCTAATTTAGAAAGATGTGGTTAATAATATATGCGCTCAAAATTAGTGCTAAGACACATACATGAGGCGTGGGCACTGCCAATGAGGCCCACACTCTAGAATTTCCAACAGAACATGGTCAGTACTTTAAGGATACGTATATGGCAAACCTGGAGCCTAAGGATGTGGAGACCTGTGCTTATCTCTGTGCTGAGTCAGTGTGACATAGGAATGTGCTGCCTAACTCTACCCAGGACCCTGGAGCCCGTAACAACTCTCCAAACAGCAAAGAGGAAGAAAGGTATCTTTAGATGTTAACTAGGCCATAGTCCAGGTATGGTGGCTCCTGCTGCCTTTGCATAGAATCCAGGTTGAGTTCCTAGCGTACACATGGTGGGTGGTTTGCAGCCATGTGCAACTAGTATCAGGGGATCGAATATGTTCTTCGGGCCTCTGTAGGCACCAGAAATAGCAAGTAGTGCATTTGGTACATGCAGGAAAAACAGTCATAGTAAATGCAGGAAAAACAGTAATACACATTTTAAAAAAATGTAAAAGAAGCATAAAATCTAGGTGTGTGGCCCACACTGATAATTCTAGCATTCAGGAAGTGAGGGTGCAGTTTGAAGCAACTGGGTCCACTTAGGGGGTCCCAGTACAAAGCTGAACAGGATTTGGAGAGGTCCTCAGTCGTCAAGAGCAGTTCCTGCTCTTCCAGAAGACTCTAGTATGGTTCCCAGTCAGGACTAACCATCACTCCTGCTCCAGGCCTCCTCAGATACCCACACACGTGTAGCATACACTCACACAGAAACACATGTAAACATCAATAACCAATAGAATATAAATCTTAGAAAGAAAATTTTAGTAGAAGAAAGACATAAAAGTGCAGGGTGATAGGCATAGCTGTTAGAGACAGCACAATTCATCAGCTTCCTAAGCAATGCTTTAGGGCTGTGGCTGTAACTCACAGGTAAGACACTTGGCCAGCATGCCCAAGGCTCTGAGTGTTATCTCCAGGATGGACAGACACATGCACACCGTCCCCCCCACACACACACACGCACACACTATAATCTTGGACTTCCTGGGTTACTCACATGTGCTGTCAAATATAAGTGCTTTCTTTTGTAGTCTGTGGTTTTTCAGTATAAGATAAAAATGCACACAATTCATCTAAAAGTGGTGTATTGAGAAATAGCAGTTTCAGGCTTTAGAAACTCCTGAAGATAGAGATTAAGAACATGGGAGAGGTCTATTTTAGACCCTCTTTTGATAAACTACTTCTCAGACACCTTAGACTTTCCACAATCTGCCAGGCTTGGGAAAATGGCAATAAAGCCATAAACTTAAAACTAACCTTTGGTTGAGTAGATGGAAACAATCATGAAGACTCTCAGACACTCAGGTGACTAGCAATGTTGTTTTCCTCTGACCTCCACCCATATCCTTACTAGACCATTGCTACCCTCCAAACATCCCTTTTAGGGGACCTCAGTGTCACAGTCTTTTCCTTCTGCCGATGTCACCTCGTTCGCATATGAAGGTTTCCTTGCACACTTTGTTCTTCAGAGTCCTGCAGTCCCTTCTCCCCTGTTGTCTCCAAATTTGGGCTTCATGGTACTTGGAGGGAGTAGAGTTTCTCTCCTTTTGAATACAGCTCTGCGGGGCAGCTTTGATGGCTGTCGTGTAAATGTCTGCTTCCTTTAAGCATCCAAAGATAATATAGGATCTAGGGGCTGTATAGGGTAACTTGAGAATCATACATATTATTGAGAACCAGTGATCTTAGAGAAGTTTTAAATAGTTTTATTCGATCTACCTTCAAGTTGTCTTTTTCTCTGTTGGAGGCTTATCATTCCTGTAACCTAGGTAACTGACTACAGCTCCCCCGGCTCCCCCACTGGCCCTCTCAGGAGTGATGCACTGCAAGAAAACAGGGTCATGATGGCCAGACCCTACAGTTCCTAACAGAACAGGCATATTAGCTCCAAACAGCACCTCCCTATCCATCATTATTAGTATGAAAATGCAGACTGTACATGAAGTGTCAAAGTTAGATGTCTATTGGTGTGACGAAACACCAGGACCCAAAAGCAAGTCAGGAAGGAAGGGGTTGTTTATTCAGCTTATACTTTCACAGCTGTGTTCATCACTGAAGGAAGACAGGACCAGAACTCACACAGGGCAGGAACCTGGAAGCAGGGGCTGATGCAGAGGCCATGGAGGGTGCTGTTCACGGGCTTGCTTCCCGTGACTTGATCAGCCTACTTTCTTACAGAACCCAGAACCACCGGCCCAGGGCGGGTGCCACTCACAATGGGCTGGGCCTTCTCTTTTGATCACTAAATGAGAAAACGCCTTACAGCTGGATCTTCCAGAGGCATTTCCTCAGTGAGACTGCCCTCTTTCAAATGCCTCTAGTTTGGGTATCAAGTTGACATAAAATGTGTCAGCACATGAAGCAAAATTGCTGTCTGAGGATTTCATAGAGAAAACTCAAAACTAGACATTATCATTTTAGGTATATTTTTATTATTCATTCTTTGAGGATTTCACACATGTGTTCAATGCATTTTCATCGTATCTACCCATACTCAGCCTCTAACTCCTCAAAGACCAGCCCCCACCATGTCCCCCTCTCATCATTATGTCTTCTTTTCAAATCCCACTGAGTCTGGTCAGGCCTGTCCACATGTGAATGTAAGGCCACCCACTGTAGCATGGACAACTTAACAGGGGTCACTTCTAAAAAAAAGAACAGATTATCCCTGCCCTTGATGCCTTCAACTGCCGAAGTTTCTCAGCCATAGGAGGGAGGATCTTTGTGAGCCCCTCCCGATTTGTGCTGGAGTTTTGACTGCCTTGGTCTTGTGAGTTCATGAATGCTGAAGACCCTGATGTGTCCAGCAAACACTGTTTCCTACAGTGTTTCTAATCTCTTTTGCTCTTTCTGCTTTGTGCTCTACGCTATTCCCTGAAGTGTGTGCCCATGTGTATATGTGTATGTGTGTGTGTGCGTGTGTATGCATGTGCGAGTGTGAGAGTTCATGTGTGTGTTTATGTATATGCATGTGTGTGTACATGCCTGTATGCATGTGTGAGTGTGTGTGTGTGTGTGTGCACATGAGTGCTCATGATTGCCTATGCATGAGTGTATGTGTGTGTGTATTCTCTCATACACATGTGAGTGTTTGTGTGTGTGTGTGTGTGTGTGTGTGTGTGTGTGTGTGTGTAGAGGAGATAGACATATAGATGTCCCATTTAGAACTATTTAGGATTGAGCACTCCATAGTGCTCTGAAATCCGAGAAACTAAAATTGCAATTATTGCTAAGTATTATGAATCAGAAAGGCACAGTGTAACTTTTCTTGCAACTGAGGTCATCACATGACTTTCTGTCCTTTGCTATTACCAAGGACAATGCCTCCTTCAATGATGTAAGCAAGCCAGACACTGAGGCTTACGTGGCTTATTAATGGTCTAATGGAGTGTGAGGAGACAGAGGGAATGCCTAATTCGATACAATTCTGCATCTACCCACAAGTCTAGATTTCCCTGTTCAGCTTTGTTCACTTTTCAATGTCTGTCTTAAGTTCTACAAATTCTGGGACAAAGCTGCCCAAATGAAAAGCTAATGCCAACATACTATCTAAATCTGTTCTTGGCGTCTGGAATGCTCTTTCGTTATAGGATTTCTATTTCTAAATTCCAACTGAACAGTGGTGGGAAAGTCCACTGTGCTTTTTACACTTTGAAAGAACTGACAGAAGGGCTTCACTTGTTACTGACTTCCCAACGATCTGTCAAGGTTATTTCTTGTAAACCTCCTTTTTACAAGGAGCCTCTAGAGCAGGGGTTCTCAATCTGTGAGTCATGACCTCTACAGGGATCATATACCAGATCTCCTGCATATTTACATTACAACTCATAACAGTAGCAAAACCACAGTTTTGAAGTAGAAACAAAACTGATTTTATGGTTGGGGGTCACCACAACATGAGGAGTTGTATTGAAGGGTCACAGCATTAGGGAGGTAGAGAACCACTGCCCTAGACACTTGTGTCAATGTATCAGCTTGGTTGGAGCATCAGGCCTCTCTCTCTCCCATTAGGATCTCTATGATGTGATGGGTGCAGGCCCATCATAGGCTGGGTGATCTGTGTTTGAATGTTTCACCCCTGTGGTTGGGATTTGATGTCTTAGGACATCTGATGTTTGGAGGCATTTGGTGTCTTTGCCACAGTCAGCTCAGTGACAGGTTTTAGAGTTCTGAGGCTCTTTTGCTGCAACAAATAGATTGTGGAAATAATTGTGCTCAGAGAGATGGTCCTGAGAGTCAGAATAGAGCCACCATTCCCTTTGGTATTGAATAAACATGAGTTACACGAGGCCCTACTATTGAAGGATTGGACATTCAGTGAAGCTCCAAGTATTTATCTTGTATTAAAATATTAGTAGATGTGTGTCTTAATGGGACTTGGTGTGATTTTCTATAATTTATTATGTATATATTTATACACATATATTTGACATGTGTACCGATCCAATCCTACCTTCCTCACCCTCCCCCTTTCTCAG